GGAAGGAATGTGTCCAAGGTCATTAAAACTTCTATTTACTCTTTCTCATACCCTGCTTTTTCTCTCCCAAAATAGGTGTCTGCTGCTATGGTCAAGGTGATAGCTGTGACAATTGCAATCAAAGCTCTACCTGTTTTTAACATACAATGGAAGGAAGGAAGGAAGGAAGGAAGGAAGAAAGCAAAATGAAAGAAGAAACGAAGGAAGGAAGGAAGGAAGATGGAAAGAACTTGCATTATTAGGGCTGCTATCATGACTTTTTTGAGCATACCCTGTGGGCCCAACTGTCTCCCAAACAACATGTGCTCAAAGAAGCAGTAGGCAATTCTTATCAGTTTCAGAGAGTTTTTGCATTACCAGAAGCAGAATGTTACACAGACTGAGCATCTTTTAAATTCATATTTTGAAGGACTTTAGGCAATTAGAAAGGAAGAGTCAGGGAAAAAGCCTGGACTGAATAGAATACCTATTACATTAAAATGGTTATTATACTAGAAATAAAGATCATGAAACCAAGCTAGTGTGGACACCTGAATCATTTGCAAGTTCATTCTAAGCACAGAGCCACAAAATAAGTAGCATATACTGCCTTTACCCATAATCAGCAACAGGTATTATTTTATTATTCTTAAAGATAAGTTACCCTTAAATCTTTCTCTAGTATTTGGAAGCGACATTAGGACTCTGAAAGAATAACAGAGCAAAAGAGCCGCTTTTAAGGTAGACATTTTTACAGAAGATTTTTAAAATTTTAATCTATACAAGGATAATTAAAAAACATTTAGAGGTGGATTGATTTGCAAAAGTTATATTTTTCATCAATAATAGAACAGGATACATATATATTAAAATGATTTTAAATCTCTTAAACTGCAAATACAAACTGCTGCTACGTATATGCCGTAAGGCTAAGAGATAGCTAATCTGTACTGAATAATCTTCACTCTGACTTTATTTACTTTCAAATTCTGGTGGAAGATATCACTCTGATTAATTGGTCAAAACATAATTTATACTTTTTCTGCTTCTCAAGCATTGTATATATTCAGAAGCATAGCATTCTCTTTGAACAAATCTCATGAATATTTATAATTTGGGCAAAGTAACATGAATAATTCTACAAAATGATATGGGAAGAAAATGACAGCTGTAGATTCTACATTCCCACCAACAGTGCTCCAGCAATCCTTCTTCACTAATGTTAATGGCTGGGATCCAAATAATTTTATGAATGTACAAGAGAGAACCATATGGGTAGTGGGACCCTAGTCTTGATGAATTGTCACCGCATCAGGCTGAGGACACCGACCGCTGCTTTTCCAACAGACAACCCTTGTTTTTCAGGCAGCAGAAATAGATCTGCTGATGCCAAATGTGTGTTCTGACTGCTTGGAAATTCTTTTGTGGATCACAAGCCATGCCTTTTACACCAATCTTTTGTTAAGCCTGGCAAAGAGGTTGAAACAATTTCTTACCTGCGGCTCCAGATTTCCCATTGAACCCCGGAATAGATATATCATTCTCCAGCCTTTCATGATTTAATACATAGGCTTTGGCCCTGTAGGCCCTGCCACCTCCTCCTGCTGCAATGATCAAGGGCACTGGCTTTCCGTTCTCGATCTTCAAAAGTAGAAATAAAAGGAGAGTTTAACTGTGCCAGGTGTGCAAATAATAAATGTGTTCCTTATGTATAAGCTGTACTTCACAACCCCCACGGGGCTGTAGATTGATCTAAATTACTATTGCATTTTTATGCACAGTGAACCCTTGATTTAAGAAATCTTGGCTTAATAGATTTTGGATGCTACAGGCAAATATTTTTTTGGATGCCATCCACAATTTACAGATGTTTATCCCCCCCCCCCCCAATAAACCATACAGCACTTGTTACTATGCCTGTACTGGCAATTATGATGGGCTGGTATTTGTTGTTTTAGGTCTTCTGGCTTTAATTTTGAAGTGCTGCTACTGTGGCTTTAAAGGCTTCAAAGAATCCAATGGTGGGCAGAAAATGCAATTTTACAATATATTAGTCAATTTATAAACTGTTGATCAATTTATAAACTGCCTCACTCCTCTGCAAACAATGCATAATGCAATACGGATAAAAAATTCAATGATACATGATAAAACGACAACACAATAACAATTCCAGTGTCACTGGTGGCCACAGATCTGATCTCAGCTGTGGCCTTCTGGACTAGCCAGGCTTAATCATTCTCCAGATGGCTATGAGGTCCTTGCCCTGATGGCTAAGCTATTCCAAAAGATGGAAGCAGCCATTACAAGCAGTTTCTCTTCAGAATTTATGAAGGATAAGATGATACCTAGGCCCTGAGTCGTGTAGAGCTTTGTAGATGATAACCAATGCCTTGAATTATGCTCAGAAATAAATTGTAACCAATGTAGCTCCCATAAAAATAGTATCACATGACTATATTGTCATTGACTTGGAAGCACATGGGCATCCACATCTTGCACCAGTTGAAGTTTCCAGTGGGTCTTCAAGGGCAAAAGATCGTATTTCAGCAATTCAACTGTGACGTGTCAAAGGTGTAAGTATTTGCTTTCATTATGTCCTGATCCACCTGGGCAAAAACTCTCCAGGTCACAGTCTCTACTGATTTTTCAGTAGAAGCAATGTACCCTGGTGGCTATTTAGTTACAAGTCTTTTCTTTTAACACAACTTTTCAATACTGAAATTAGTGTCACCTCAGAATGTGAACAAACAGCCACCCGGTTTTGCTTGGACTGAATCTGCCTCTCACTGTTTAAGCCCTGAGAGTGTCTAGGCATTGGATCAGGACTTCTCCCAGCTCAGTGGAGAGAGATGTACTTGGATGTCATTAGTGTTTTGATAATACCCTACCATGTACCAATAAATGACAGCTTCAAGTAGATGTAAATCAAGTACAGGGCAAAAACCAGTTGCCAGATACATCAGGCATTTGGAGCAGGTTGCTTTAACTAGCCTAGTTTCCCTTGGAGTTGGTGACTCCAATTAGCCCACGTGAACTTGAGGAAATGACATATATCCATGATTATGGCACTGATGGAGAAGTCTTCTAGGTAGTATGTTGGTGGCCTACAGACTGTTCCTGATGTTTATGGTGAAACACAATCACTCTTTAGAGGACTATATTGTACTGAGAATCACTACCTTGATTTAGCAACCTTTTTGTCATTCTCCACTATGAGTACAATGATCTTTAGCATAATAGACAATACATAAGCTATAGTTGTTAGGATAAGTCTCCCTATACTTGCAGAATTGTAGGATTTAGAATTAATACCATCAACCTTTTAAAAATGCTATTTTCATTTCAGTTAAAAACAAGAAGCTTTACTAATTTCTTAAGGTTATAAACTAACTTGGCTGACCATGTTTGCTGAAAACCTGTGACAGTTTTCTACCATTTTGAGCTGAAAACATAGAAAAGTTATAATGCAAACTATGACACAGGTATATCTTGGTATGCAAAAAAATAGGCAGGCAACCCTTAAAACCCCAAACCTGTTCATGTTTGGTTTGTCTGCAGCTCTTTACCTTGCATAAATGTTAAAAATGGATGATGACACTTAAGACAGCCCTACTTCCCCCCTTCCCCCCCATGATGTATTCCTATGTATTATTATGAAGGAACTGCAATAAGCCAAAACGTTTAAAAACAGTTAATGCTTTGGGCATGGTACTAAACTGAAATTATTAAGAAAAAATAGAAGCAATGACTTTCTTGAGGCTGTAATCGAAGAGGGAAGATGTTGAAAATATAGGAACCAGAAGCTTTGCTTCAAGGTTTACATTCTTTCAGAGGTAATTCCCCAAAGCCAGATTCCTAAAGAGCCACTTATTCTGTTTCTGACACCCTCAATTTTTCTGCTTACCTTTTCTCTTAATACAACCTAGCGTTAGAGAAATATTTTGTCTGGGGAAAAAAAATCTCAAATTCAATCCTCTGCTTCCAAAAGAAGAGCTCATATTCACAATATAGGGTACTCCTTAACATAATAATACCTTAAATATGTAAGTTGCACCTCCTCCTCCACCTCCTCCTCCTGCCCATTCTTGGATGCTTCCATTTGCTTTAATTTCATCTTCAACCACATTATTCTCTCCACGGCAGACTTTCTGTATGGCATGATGGATCTGCATATACAAACCAGGTAAACAAATTCAGATGGAGAAATCTCTTCTTGGCCACTCTCCATGGAAACTAGAGTTAACTGAACCTGTATTATCCCTAGCTTACCACCTGAATTTTTAGCTTACACCTGGAGTAGAATGAGAAGAGTTCCAAAGTGAAAGTGCTGTCTTCCCTAATCCAGTTTCCCTCAGTTGTACTGGAATATTACATTCTGGAATATTCAACCTTTGTTATTAAATTTACCATCTAGCTCTTTCAGACTGTGGCTGAATCCTCCTTTGCATAAGGAACAGTTTGCAATTAGCTTATTATGAAAAGGAGTGTGTGTTTTCTTCCTGAATGTTTTCTTCCTGATAGGTTTTGATTTGTCACCTTTATTACAGGAAATACAGCATGATACACTAGAAAGCAATGAAGTAAGGCATTCTGCAGCAGAAGACTGAGGAGTCACCATGGGATGCATCAATTCATTCTGAGGCATGTCTAGAACAGGCCCAAGCCAATTGGCATGAAACTGATAGTAGGTTACAGGCGCTATGAAATAGAAATTAGGTTCTTGCCTGGCTTTTATCTGTGCTAATTTGCTGTTTAATGCAATGATAAAAGTGCTAGGCAATTCCCTCAGGCAATGGTGTATTTTTATTTGCAAAGAGATGATTGAAAAACAACCCCATCTTCCTGCCAGAAACCATTTGGTCTTCCTGAATATTTCAAGAGATTTGTCATCAAAGCTTAATTATTAGAAATTTATTTCCTAATGCACCACATTGCTCTACTGAGCTCAGAGAGGCAATAAGTGGCAGAGTTATGAATGTTGGGCGTCATTCTGTTCCTTGGCCCAGCAAGAAGATCATGTCTCAATCCCTGCTATATTGGGAAACAGCACAAATTTAAATTTTATGTTGGCCTGTACTGCAAGACTTAGAAGTTCAATATATTCTTTTCTAAAAGCAGGCTTACAAACTGAGACATATGTTTTGTGTGGAGAAGTACTAATTAAAAATTGGATACTTTAGATTGGCTCACAGTCCATGTGGATGGCGATGTCTTATAAATATTGTCAATAAACTTTTACTGCCAGAATAGACACAATGCAAATAAGGATATATTTTGTTTCTAGGGAACTTCTAACATACAGATGAGAAATTACCTGTGACTGAATGTATTCACCCCAAAATCTATTCAGGGATTAGAACCCAACCTGTTTAACATTGTTAAAACGCTTGTTTATATTCCACCTTTTTTTCCATGAATCTAAAGGTGACGTGCAAACCTGACTTTTCATGTTTGAGGGATTAGATTATGTTGAAAAACAATCACTTCAATAGGAGTTTGAATTTATAATCCAATGCTCTAAGGATTTCCTCTAGATGTTTTGAACTACCGCTTGCCTAATTTTTGAATTGGCCAGGCAGGTAGAAGCCGATTGCATTTGTGCTGTTTTTCAAATTGTTCTTATTACTGTCAGCTTCACCAGAGTCATGAATTTGAAATAGGCAGCCATAAACATTTAAATCCATCAATCAATAAAATTGGATCATTTGTTCATTATAATCCATTATTCTGTCTCTGAACAGTGATCAAATAGCCACAGAATATTTATATACTTCCTTGAATGTTTCATCTATCCATCCACCCATCCATCCATCTTGTATGCTGCCCTTCCATCCATCTTGTATGCTGCCCTTCTCACCTGAAGGTGACTCTTTTTCAACTTTGATTGCATCCCAAGGTATTTTGTGGCATTTACAAAATCTGTAAGACGATAGGCATAGCATGGTGAGCCAAACCCTATCCCTTCGGTATGTGCATGCCACATCATCATACAGAAGAGAATTTGGATTGTGATACTGCAATTGTGTTTATGCAGACTTTCACCACTACTGCAGATGCTGCTGCAGCTACTTGATGGCTGCCAGATGACAGAGAAATTTAATTCCTTAAAATCATTACAAGGAACTATATCCATGACTTCATACTGTTCCTTGTTTCTCCAAACACCTCTTTCTTATGGTTATAAAATACTGCACAGGCAGGAATTGGCACCTACTTCAGATGTATTATTTGAATACATCAGGCAATGCCATGTTGTTTAGATCAATTTAATCTATAATCTATAAAAAGAAGAAAAGCACCTTTGGTCATGCTTCACGCTTCATAATAAGAATTTCAGACCAAAGACAGAAAAACATGCATTATTTTTACTCTGTGCCTAATTTACATTATTAACCAGCTATAATAATTTAACCTTTACAAGAATAAAAGGGGAACTGTACTAACTTACTAAACATATCTTTTAAGTTTAATTTGTTGATCATCAGGAGCTTGACTAGAATTGGTCCTTCTAGGGCCCTTTGGTGTCATAAGAAAACATCTACTAGCTCCATCCAATTCACAACTGGAGGAAGGACGGTTAATCTAACAATTTCATGCAATGACTTAAAGTTGAATCTCCAATTGTGACACATCACAGTCACACATACACACACACACACACTGTTTTTATGTATATATATACTATCCATATGAAAAACACTTCACAAAAAAAACATAACTGATTACAATCCAATCAAGTTAAAACTACTAATGCTACTACATTCACAAAGTCAATGCAATATCTTTGCCTCGATTACGTTACCACTCAATAAATTCTTGTAAAGATTACAGTGGCCTGCAATTTAATGACTTCATATATTAGAGTATGCCGCAATGCCCAGATCAAGATAAAAAATAAGCAAAAGTGTCTGGTTCCGAAGGGACAATCAACCTCTTTTATTCATTGATAAGAAGCATCAGGCAAAATTTGAATAACAGAATAACAGAGTTAGAAAGAATGTTGGGGATCTTCTAGTCCAACCCCTTGTGCAGGCAGGAAACCCTATATCATTTTAGACAAATAGTTGTCCAATTTATTCTTAAAAACTTCCAGTGTTGGAGCATTGACAACTTCTGGATGCAAGTTGTTCTATTGACTAGTTCTTCAACTGTCAGGAAATTTCTCCTTAGTTCTAAGTTGCTTCTCTCCTTGATTAGTTTCTATCCATTGCTTCTTATCCTGCTTTCAGATGTATTGGAGAATACGTTGACCCCCCTCTTCTCTGTGTCAGCCCATAGATATTGGAACACTGCTATCATGTCAAGCACTAGTCCTTCTTTTCATCAAACTAGACCCAATTCCTGCAACCATTCTTCATACATTTTAGCTTTCAATCCCCTAATAATCTTTGTTCTCTTTTCGGTTCTTTTTCTAGAGTCTCAACATCTTTTTTTATATTGTGGTAACCAAAACTGGATGCAGTATCCCAAGTGTGGTACTTACCAAGTGGTATAAAGTGATATTAACACTTCACATGATCCTGATTCTGATCCTGTGTTAATGCAGCCTAGGAGTCTTTTGACTTTTTGGCAGCTGCAGCACACTGCTGGCTCATATTTAAGTGATTGTCCACCAGGACACCAAGATCCCTCTCACAGTGACTACTGTTGAGCAAGGTACCACCTATACTACACCTATGTATTTGGTTTTCCTTGCCTAAATGTAGAACCTTACTTTTTTCACCATTGAATTTTATTTTATTAGATAGCTATTGCCATGGAGACAATCCCCCCTCCCAATTTCATTTGTTTAGGAGAGCATAAAGAACCACTGTTGGGATCTTAGCCATCCAAAAGATGCTCAAGACAAGATCACTGAAGAATACAAAGAGCAAAAAGATGGGCATTTTCAAAAGATGTCACTGAATATTTCAAGCATCTTGGCATTCCCATGGAAACAATAAATCAAAATAAAAAAAAAATGAAAAAAAGTGCCTAAGTCCATCATACTTGTAATTCAGTTAAATCATTGTCCTAACATCTGTCCCCCCACCCCACACAATTTTCTGCAGGAATCCAGCTGCCAGACCTGGTGCTCCAGAACCAAGCAAGCTTCCAGTTTGTACACTAAGATGCTTCCCAAGATGGATTGATTTTATTTACTGGGTAAGTAGAGAGCCAGAGCAAAGGTTAGAACCAGCTTCTTGCTTGCTATCCAACTCATCAGCAGTCACATCCATCCTGTCCCCTCCTTCACTAGACAGATTACCCAGATGCTGCAGCAGCATTTTATACCAGAAATCAAATTCCCATTCAGAAGAACAGACTTGGCAAAAGGTGGACATCCTTTTAAATCTCTGAAAATGCATCGCCTGACGTGACGATAGGTTGTGTGCAGTCGGGATGGCAGATGGAGTGATTGATCTACAGTGGCAGAGAGCAGAGGAAATGTTTGTATGTGGGGGCACAATTGGATCAGAGCAGGCCACTTTTCCTGGGCCAGATACTTTTGTTGGATGATGGGAAGCATATAACAACAGGCTACAATCAATAGGACAAAGTCTGGGAAGCTCAGGATGCCAAGATTTTAGCAGCTGCACAGAAATGTGAAGAAACATCATCATCAAAAATGGTGGAAGGACGATCACTTACACTGGGACAAGCATCTTCTCCTTGTTGTCCCACCAAGATATACAAGGTATCATTCTTCTCGAGTGGAAATATTCCCACAACATTCACACCATGTGATCTCATCATACTGTTTTTCCCTTTGCCACCAGCTGCTCCATAGACTGAGATACTGCAGGTAAACGAATAACAAAACAGAAAAAAGGCGAAAAGTCATAAGAGAAATACAACCAGAATTATTTATTCTGACCACAGAATAACTTAGCACAGATTTTGTTTCCTGGGTTTGTCATTTTCTAAACCTTACATTTGCTTGACAATGAAGTGATGTTTCTTTGCTCTATCTTGGTCACAGGTTTAACTAGCCCAGAATCTAAACTCCTTTAAGATGATCAGAAGCTGGCAAAGGATTTGCTGAAAATATTGGCTCCCTAGCTCCAAATGGCTCATAAAGCAGGGAGGGGGGGGTGTTCTTGGAATCCGATCCGATGATGCTCATGTGTCACTTTCCATAACCCAAGCTATCATTCTTTAATAAGGCAGCAATTGACACACGAGAGGACATGATGGCCACGAGGTAGGAGCTCCTGAACAGATGCTAGGAGGAGCAGGAGGCATTGAGCTGATTTTCAGCAGGAAACTGTAATGGCTAATGAGGTGCGCTATTCAGCAAGGCAAGCTGGCAGGGCTAATTGGCAGCAATTAGGGGCCATATTTTTCTGTGTAAGAGTAGATTTTGCATATAAGCAATAAAGTCAGGAACCCAGAGAGACGCTCTTAGTGCCTCATTCACCAGCTGTGAAAGAAGAGCAGTTAGCTTCAGGTTACAACTCTACACATTTGTCAAAGCCTATAGCTACAAAGAGGGCATTTGTTCTGCCATCGATAATGCATGGCAAATTTGCACGGCTCCTATAGTGCCAATTATCATCTTGTTGGGATGAATGACAGTAGTTGAAGCAACAAGAATGTATACAATGGCATTTTTGACAATATCTGGGGATACAAAAATGGGGATTTGTTTTGCAAAAGAAATCCAAGCTTGCTGCATTATTATTGTTTTGAGGGACACTAAATCATGCTGTAAGAAGCCAATTGATGGTCCTTTCTATGTCAAAGCAGTTTGTTTGACTTGGGACAAGGACTGACTGCTATAGATTTTTTTGGGGGGGGGCTCTGAGAAATGTAGATAAAGAATTCTAACAAATTGAGATCTTAACCTTTTTTCCTCTTTGCATATATTTCCTTGAGTTCTATTTATCTTTCCTATAAAGCACTTACCAGAGCAACATAGAGGGGGGGGGAAAGCTGTTTAAAAACACATATAAAAATTTAATTCCATTCTATTGTCACCATTAAATAGCAGGAATAAAATTAGCAACCGAACAGGCTGTGGTACTAAAATTAAAATTAAAAGTTAACAAATCTGTAAAAAATAAAACAAGAATGGATCTCCAGGCACACAGTATCTTCTTTGGCAATGATGCATTTCAAAAGTCAGGGTTTGCTACTAATGAACAGCCATCAGGCTCTTCCCTAAGATGGTAAGGAGTTGGATCTGAATATAGCAATAGCAATTAGACTTATATATCACTTCACAGTGCTTTAGAGCCCTCTCTGGATGGTTTACAGAGTCAGCATATTTCCCCCACCGATCTTGGAAGGATGGAAGGCTAAGTCAACCTTGAGCCTGGTGAGATTTGAACTGCCAAATTGCAGGCAGCTGGCAGTCAACAGAAGTAACCTGCAGTACTGCAATATAACTACTGCACCACTGTGGCTCATGTACCTATTTTTTACTTCTGTTGTTGCTGACAGAATCAATCATCTGGGCCTTGTCACTTCACTAATAATCAATCAGCCAAATGACAGAAAAAAGAAACTGAGGTAGGCACCACTCCCAAGAGAAAGTTCTTAAGCCTGTGAGGATATGAATTGTCCTTACATGCATTACAACTGGAAGAGAATATACATTTTGAAAAGTAGTATATAAATCTTCAGATACTAGAAGAATTCTAGGGAGCCTTCTTATGATGAGTCTGCCTTCAGGATTAGTTTTCTTTTGGCTGTTCATGTATCCATGTGGACAGTCAATCAAAATGGTTATACATACTTTACTTTTAAGAAAAAGTTTAGATGAAAGGGGACAGGGTGGGAGATGGGTTGTTGGTTTCAGTCCAGAGAAAGACTACTGTAGAGAGTGACTCTACAATGGATTAGGTATTTCTTCCACCATTGAAAGTTTGTAAACAGTATTATACCTATAAAGTGTCTTAAAGAGGAAGAGAACCAACATGGAACTAGTTTCAGAGGACCCTTGGTAAGGATGAGGATAATGAAAGAGAAGATCAGACTCTTTACTTCTCAGAAGTCACCAGCTAGATGAAGGCATATTATCAGTTTGCCTGACTAAAAAAGAAAACATTGCCACAAATTAAGAAGGAGACTATTATAATTAAGGAACCCCATGGAACCCAAGTCCCTTCCCAATACTGAAAACCATAATGTTCCTGTTGATGTCTACTCATCTCCCCCTAGTTCAGTTAGAGAGGAAAACCTCTATCAGCAATGAGAGCCACTCCATTGTTGATAGATAATATAATAAGGGTAATGCATGAATGCTGTGATGGTGGATGGCACCAGTGGTGCCTTCACTCCAAAATACATCAGAATGCACATGATCCATAGCTGATTATATTATTTTGCATGTCAGGTAGAAAAACTTCCAAGCATTTTGCTTCCAACAATAGTCTTAAAAATAAAACTTTCTTGCCCTTTTTTAACACTTTAAATCAGTTTCACTCTGGCCTAAGAAATGAAATGAAAGATGTGACTGAACTGGAAACTGGGGGAAATGTCTCTGGTTTGCAAGGAGTCATTGGCAATGGGCTTTTCCTGGCCCAAACCACACCAAAGCAAACCACTAAAATCCTAAATGTTTGTATTTAAGAAAATAATCCTTTTCCTCCACTAAGGCTGTCTGCGGAATTTCTGGGAATTAAAGGCCACATACTGTATCTTAAAGTTGGCAAGTTTGAAAAATGCTATTGTAGGAATGGATTAATTGGTTTTCAAAGCATGGTACTGATTGCCAATAGATAAATCAAGTATCATATTTTCTATCATTGATGTCTATATCTAACTGAGTTCATTCTACTTAAAAATATACTAGACTTTTAATCTTAGAGGGAACCACCAATAAAATGCTCCACCTGGACAATTTATTTTGTATTTATTTAATAGTTCACTTTTGTTTTGCTCCTTTGTAAGGGATGCCCCTCCCTTTTTTAAAAAAATGGTCATTCATTTTGTCATATTTTAGCCAAAAATGAAAACCATCTTTTTGTCCAATATCATACCCCACACCCCATCATGTCTTGATGAATTTTAAGGACCAAGAGCTTCAGCTTATATCATGCAAGGAACCAGGGCCAGCAATACTGAAGAGCTAACAAGGGAAACAATATACTGTAGGTTGCTAGGGAAATTGACCAAAGGAATGTTCTGATCAACTCAGCTAAGCCAATTGCAGTAATTTCTCTTAGCCAGAGATGTCAATCAACACAAAGTACTTCCTAAAGTGATAGCCTAAATAAACTTCTATGTCTGGTATTGTGCAACAGGTTAAAATATCTTGCAATATAGAAAATGTTTTGACTCAACATATCTCTAAAATAAGCAGAATTAAGCATTAAAACATGAAAGACAAAATGCACAAATCCCATTTAAAAAGCTATACACTATATTGATGACTTGTAAGTTTTGATCTACTTGCTAGTGTATTAAAAAATAAAATCAGCCTTGGGATACTATTAAATGTTATTTTTTATCCCAGCATTAACATTAAATAAATGAGACTTCTGTACATATAATTTAGTATTCTTCTCTTTTACATTAGGACGATATTTTATATACACTCATACTACATGCCAGCCTTGAAAAATTCTTTCCACCTGTTCTCCCACAGGCAAGTCATTCTTTTCTACATGGCTGAATGAAACATTATTAGGTTTTTTTTTCATTAGCAGCAATTTCCCTAAAAATGAACAAGTGAGCAGATTTGGGTTCTTTTTCTACTCAATTTCACATACTCAATTTCTACTCAAAGTTGTGTCTCAGCTGTTTAAACTACTATGGACTAATTTGAGCACTGCAGAGAGATCTGTCTGTCTATCATCTATCTATCTATCTATCTATCTATCTATCTATCTATCTATCTATCTATCTATCTATCTATCTATCTATCTATCTATCTATNTATTGTATTGTGTAAATGTGGTGTACGTCTAAGTTTTGTGTGTGTGTATTTTACATGTTTGTTAATTAAAAAAAGAATAAAAATAAATAAATAAAAATGAAATAGATTACCATTTCCATTTTCCAGTTTTGGAAAGGTATGTGTTCCATCCCTTTATGAGGTTTAACTATTAACATGTATATGAAGTTTATATCTTAGTCTGAATACAAGTATGAAGCAAAGGCTTATGCCACAGATTGATTTAATTCACTTTCCCTCTACCAAGAAATTTACGTAGAACCCACATTGATCTAAAAGCTTTATTAAGTGTAGCATTTGCCCGAAGCTTTAAGCATATCAAATATCCAATGCTCCTTTAAACACAGCCTATGATACTTTGGAGAAGGAAGAAGTCATTTCCAGTAAAAATCAATATTTCTCTTTTGTGTATTATTGATTTTTTTCCCCCACTCGTCCCTCCAAGAACCGAGGAAAAGAAATTTGCAGGGTGTCATGTACAGGCCATTAAAACACCGTACAGAACAGATTCTATAGGTTGCTACATGTTTGGGGGAAATTCCGTTTACAGCACAGCTTTTGATCTCCATAAATGAAAGCAGGTGTGGTGAAATGGAACCCCTTTAACTAGCTCCAGAAACTCTGGTGTAGCATTTTTCATCTGCAGACAACATAATGCTGTTCTGCATTGCATTGGCAAATGAATGTGTTTCTCTTTGTTCTGTATTACCAAACAGAGAGATACATCAATTGGATAATCCTGTTATCTCAAGCATGCCTACAAATTGTAAAATCCAGCTAAATGTAAACCAAGTTGCTGGATATATAATCAATTGCTCAACTCTTCAGAAGAAATACTGATTCAGCACAAAAGGGGGTGATTGTCTTGCAGTTAAGTATAATTCTGAAAAATCCAGGTGCAAATTAGCCTCCAACAAAAATACATTTCAAGTAAGGATTCTCTACTGTCACTTTGTTTGGATCTGTTGCCCTTTTTATGGCTTCAAGCAATGATTTATATATATGATTCCTGCTATATAAGATGATATTTTTGCATTCATAGGTTTTACCCTAAGCAGTCATAGGACATTATTTGTCCACTGGGCAAAAGGTTTGCACATTATTTCATGATATATGCACGCAAACAAACTATCTTAATACAGGCCTTGGCAGCATGAAAAAACAACACATTATTTGGATTATTTGTGTCATCTGTTGAATAGAAAGTTGAGGAGCTGAATAGAACTGAGCCCAATATTTCAGTGGTTTGCCCTTATAATCATCCCTGTCAATATGTACTTTTTAAGGGGATTAAAGCTGATGCAATTTATCACTTAGAAATTGTAGATTTCAGCAAAAGAAATATTGCAGCCACCTAAGCTATATTTATTCCACCTCTGCAAAGTCCTCAGTGGATTGTGATGTCAGGAGACTTGTACGTGATTGGCTTTTCTATCATCCAAGTCATTCAATCTCACAATTAAAACAATGTTCTGATATTTTAGGATGTAAGAGTCTATTGAAACAAGCATTTTCACTCGCTTTCATATTTACAGCAACTGATAAAGTATATCACACTTTATCCTTCCTTGTTACTATTAAACACAAAGAAGTCTTATTTTAGGTTCATTTGCTGTACAAAGACTATTTTAAAGGTAAAGGTTCACCTCACACATATGTGCTAGTTGTTCCCGACTCTAGGAGGCAATGCTCATCTCTGTTTCAAAGCCGAAGAGCCAGCTCTGTCCAAAGATGTCTCTGTGGTCATGTGGCTGGCATGACTAAATGCCAAAGGTGCACGGAACGCTGTTACCTTCCAACCAAGGTGGTCCCTATTTTTCTACTTGCATTTTTACATGCTTTCGAACTGCTAGGTTGGTAGAAGCTGGGACAAGCAACGGGACCTCACTCTGTTATGTGGCACTAGGGATTTGAACGACCAAACTGCCAACCTTTCTGATTGACAAACACAGCATCTTAGCCACTTAGCCACCGTGTCCCTAAAGACTACCGTATTTTTCAGAGTATAAAACACACCTTTTTTCCTCAAAAAAGAGGCTGAAAATCTGGGTGCGTCTTATACACTGAATACAGCATTTTTGGCCTCCTGAAACCCCGCCCCTTCATCAAAATGGCCGTGCATAGCTTTCAGAAGTCTTTCAGAGAGTTCCTGGGGGCTGGAGAGGGCAGAAATGACTGAAAAATGACATGTTCCCCCCCCCCCCCAGCAGCACTCTATAAGCTTCCTAAAGAATATCCATGTCCGTTTGGACAAACAATGGGCCCGTTTTTGCGAAAAATGGGCTGTTTTTTGCTTGTTTTGGGGGGCCCTCAGGAGTACTCTACAAGCCTCCTAANTATGTATGTATGTATGTATGTATGTATGTATGTATCTATGTATCAGTCTTAGAGTAGTAACTATCTTCCTCATATTATTCTGTAAGTCAGTGTCTGGGAACATTTTAGGGCTGAAGAATAGGATATCAATGTTTCAATGAATAAGTAAAAGAAAGCTCACCTGTATATATTGGCTGCAGGAACTCTCCATATTTGTACACCAGGAAAATGTTCCTCTGTTCCTACCAATACACTGAAATTATAGGCATGATTGCACTGGGTCTGAGTAGGCCCTTGTGATCCAGTGGCACCACAGGTCTCAAAGAACCAATTATCTGAAAGAGACACATGCAAGTATATCCTCAGTATCAAATAGGTGTCAGTTAATATCCTCAGCTGCATGCCAACAAATGAAGAATGTACATGAGCCTGTTTAAAGAAATAAATGTCACATTCAATTGTTCCAATATGCCATGTACTCTTATTGGTTAACATAGAAGCCCCCTCTCCTGCAAAGCACATGGAGAATAGATGTGCTGGTAGGAGCAAACTTGGGGAAACTTTGAGATTTGAAGGAGAAAAAATATTTGTAGGAAACAAACAAAAATGAGAGATAATCCCAAAGGAACCCAATAAGGACTGAGTATCTTCAATAGATATAGAGTAGGAAAAAAGCACAGAGAGAAAACTGGAGGAAGAGAGAAAGGAGTAGAGGTATACAACAGATTCAATTTTAATATAGCTTAAGCCTACCCTTTATACTGCAAGAACCATCCCTTAATGCTCCCTAGTTAATGTAAAATCTACAGATAACAAATTATTAGCCCGTAATTTATACTGATGGAGAAAAATGATATCATAAAGCAATTAAAACTTAATTGCAATTGCTTTTAGCTATATTTGTGTGATTTGGGTTTCCCCTCCATTGCGACTTGCATTTTAATTTTTTAAAGTTCAGCTGAATGCTTGAAAATGACTTGAGAATGTCCTTTTTTCCTCTCAGCCCTTTACATGTTCAGTTGCAAATTCTGAAAAGTAATAATAATCATATTTATTTGAATGCAAGTGCAGCATTCCCTGTGTTTTGGGCCCCAATAAAGCAGGTGTTCTTATTGTGGGGGAAGCGGTATTCACATTCAAGTAAGAACAGTTCCATGTCAGATCTCCAAAGCCCAAAGAATGATTGGTGGCCTCAGTATACAGATTTCCAACACCTGAAGAGGCCCTTAAAGTGTTCACTCCAAATTAAATTCAGTAGAATTCAGTAGAATTTACTTTCAGAAAACCTGAATGTAGGACTGGAGTGTGCTTTGTTGAAGGTTTTTGTATTATTTTGATTGTGTGATACTATTTTATTGATTTACATGAAAGATTAATGGGCAAAATGGGTGCCCTAAATTTTTCAGGAATTTAAATCACAATGAAAATTGTGTGATAACTATATGTTTATTATAACCATTTTTAGAAAGATTATCTTAATGTGAAGGTTTGGAACTTTCTTGTCCACACACCTGCTTCCTGAAATGGGAAATAAAGCCTATGAGACAGAAAAATGAAAAGAATTTGCATCCTTTAGAATTACATTCTTAAACTGAGATTTTTATTGACTGAGATGGGCCTGTCCTATACAGCGACTCATTATGATATACCAGTGAAACAATTTTAGCACATTCAAGGTGGACCCAGTGGATCTTAGAAGCTCCTATAATGACAGTACATGTTCTATATATTCTAATTATTGCATCCTCTGTGCTTTTCTTAACACTGAATCCATTCTTTCTTCCAATGAAACTAAGCTGTCCATATTTTGAAGACCCAGGGGCCAGGATTTCATGACTTTGATGCCTAGAAGTCAGGATTTCATGACTCTGATGCCATTGGGCAACTGATGTTAATATGGTGATTAATAATTTCTCAAATAAGTGTTAGAACTGAAGGGGACGACAATTTATCATATACTTTCTATGTGATAGCCTTATGCTGTGACAAGATTGCTTATAGCATCAAGCTATAAAGGATGTAATCCTGATCTGTAATATAAATGAAGCTTTGCATTACCTTCAGTGAGGTGTCAAATGCACTCCTGATGTCCCTAGTTTCATAACGCCTCAAGGGAAAGAATGAGAAACTGTGTGGAAGAATCCAAGATTTTCATATTAATGGAGTAAAGATTCTGAAGTAGAATGCAAGCTACATTTCCTATTTGAACCTTTCTCTAGCCAACTTAATCTTTTTTGAGAAGTATTGCACTCTCACAGAAATTCATGTTCCTCTGTTTAACTGCAAATCAGAAAAACAGAGGGATATCCTGCCAGCAATCTTGAAGTCTTAACACTTTTCTGTCCCAGTAGGTTTAGACCAGCTGTAACAGAGCATATGTTAAATAAAATGAGCAAGCAAAAGTTTATACCAGGAATATTAAGAAACGGTTGTGTTATCTCTGGTGAAAAATTAAACATGTTCCCTCAAGTGGTAGCAAGTGACCTTGAAAAAAGATATTTTTTAAGGAAAGAGAAGAATCATACAGCAAGAGAGAAGATTAAACAAGAAAAATTGAACTGTGAAGATTTATCCCCATGTCTCATTAAGAAATAAGGGCAGTTTAATTGTTGTTTAATGAGTTTTCTATATTATGAGCTTATCCTTTACATTCTAAGTTTGACATTGCTTAATTCTTTACATTTTTTTTCTGACACTGCTAATTGGTGCCCAAACATAAAGTAAGAGTGCTAAAAGATGTGTGACACCATTTCGTATTCATAAACCTGTATGCCTAAATATATGTGACCTTCAAGCCTGAAAGAATTTGCAACGCTTTGTATGGCAGGCATATCATTACGACAGCTAATCATATATAAGGAATATAATGTATTAAAAAAAGTTAGGAGCTATATCCAATTATTCATACTAATCATTTCAAACTAGTACTAGTGGTCATTGCTTGATGAAAATAGCAACCATTAGACGGCATTGAGCCATTGACAAAAATATTATTTGGATAATTTCTATCTTTTTTGTGCTGTTACAAAATCACCTGATAACGATGTCAAAGAAGCATTTCTTATTCTGTTAAGAATTTTATTGAATCTAAGAATCATTTATTGAAAAACAATTCTGGAGAAATATTGCTTCATAATACCTTCAGTATTATTTCCAATTGAATTTCCTATTTTTCTTTCTTAATCTTATGTTTAACGTTGGCTCAAATGTCTACTTTATTCTGAACAGAACCTGTGGCCACAAGATGTTGGTCTGATGACAATTTTCTACCTCTAAGGACCACTGTCTTCCCCATCATTTCATTTTCTATCTTTAAAAATTACTTTTCATACTTGTTTTAGTAGATTTGTAGATCTTCAACAGGGGGTCAGGAAGTAATATCCAGCAGGGGCTGTGGTATAATTCAAACAAATCTGAATTTTCCTTTCCTTTTGAAATGCTAAATAGGATCCACCTATATGAAAGGGCTGATAGGCCCCTAATTCCCTCAATCCAGTTTTTGCCATCTCTTGGCAGACAGCAGCTTCTCAGAACGTAAGATGTCCTTACTATCAGAGATCCTGGGAAGAACATCTGGAGCCTTTCCTTCATAAAGTATGTATTCTTTTGCCTTGCCTTGTGAAGCATCTCCAAGAATATGCCAATGTGGACAATGAGCATTATAAAGAATCAGAGACTTGGTGGGAACTGGACCAGTCCCACATTGGGCAAAAGAAAACAAATAACTTCAGGAGCTAACAACATCAGCCTTTTATTTTAACTTTCATTTTATATGCTCTACTGAATAGACTTAGCCTAGGGTAAATGTGGTTATTGAGCAATTGGAAAATAAAAATACATTCAAATTAAAAATGAAATAGATTACCCCTAGGGAATAAAAGGTTTAAGACTCAAAAATGAAGAATATAAGGCCCAAGCCTATGCTGATGACTTAGTATTTGTTCTAGAGGATCCATTAGAATCCAGCCAAAAATTAATTAAAAAATTAGAATAATATGGCGAAGTGGCAGGACTAAAGATCAATAAAGACAAAACAAAAATCATAACCAGGAACATGACAAAGAAAGCAAGAAGAGGAACTGGAAGTAGCAATGCTCAACCAAATGTGGACTCACAGCCAGCA